CAAACACACTGGTGACTGTGAGGAAGGTACTGGCAAGTGCTATTGTCAACCTCGGTTCCAAGGCGAGAACTGCGATCAATGCGCTCCGGGCTACTACGATCCGCCTGAGTGTAAAAAGTGCGAATGTACAGTAGGCGGTACCCTGGACGGAACTTGTCTGGTACGTTCGTAGACCTTAAGTTGATCTTTAAGAAGTCTAGCCCTGTAGAGGAGCTGTTCATCCTATCAGATTCATCGTTTGTTAGTCCAGCACGGTTTTTCAGCCTGAGAATGGTCAATGCCCTTGCAAACCTGGATTTGGCGGAACATTCTGTGAGACGTGTGAACCTGGCTTTACTAACGTCACAGCTGGTTGCAAAGGTATGAAATTCAATTTTTTCTCAGGACATATATACAAAAAGCAGATCTAATCTACAAAGCAGAAAGGCACTTTGGATTTGGCCGATTTCCAGAGTCGATTAATAGATCTCCCGCCGTCCGCCCCCTCAAAGTTTACTAAATAAGGGTGTTGGAACGGCTAATCATGGTTGGATAAAAACAACTCATGCTTCATAGGTGCATTCCACTCTAACTGCATGGGCGTGGATGCGCCTCGCACTGACCCCCCCCCCACCGCTCTTTGGTTCTTTCTTGGTTCTCTTCTGACACGGTAAAGCGCAGAAAGCGCCAATGAGCTGTGCGTCTATGCTATGTCTGACTGCGCCAAACCCTAATAGTGTCTTGTCCCAATGTACTACATGACACGAAAATGAGCGAAAAATGAGCACCCGTACTGAAAGGCGGGCAGTTCCATCGTGAGCTAGCAAAGGCTCACGCCGCAAGCGGCGAGTCGCGCTGCTGTGTTAAAGTTGCGCCACGGTATTCACAGTCCTATCGTTGGAGCAAGGAATCTGCTCTTGTTCAGCGTGTGTTCTCAAGAGTAGCGATGAAACAGATCCTTCAAATATCTAGGACGAGTCATGAGACAAAACAGCTCGTACGCAAAGTCTGCGGCGTCGCAGGTCACGCCCATCACCCTGGCAGCACATGCGAGATCGCCGCGTACCCAAGAGTACTGTAGGACGCTGAAAAACCCCAGATCCAATATTTATAATTACATTGCTTTAGAATGCGTTTGCTATGAGACCGGCTCCGCACACTCGAATTGTTCGGCAACGACTGGGCAGTGCGTTTGTAAACCGTCGTTCAGTGGCCTGCATTGTGACAGCTGCCAAACTGGCTTCTATGGATTTCCAAACTGCACATGTGAGTTACCTTGTCCACGGATTGTTTGCTCGGGTTTCTCCAAATATTACAAGGATATTTAGTCTGCAACTGCGACCCTGTTGGAACGGAAGACGGCATATGCGATCAATACTCTGGCCAATGTATGTGCAAAGATGGATTTGTTGGCGAAAAATGTGATCAGTGCGATATTGGCTACTATGGATATCCTAATTGTAAAGGTGAGAACTTACTAATGACTCATTTTGAAGTTGGCGCTTATAAATACTCAGTAAATGTGCAGTTCTCGATGACCATGGGGCGGAGTCAGACCAGTCGCTGTACTTCACTTGTTGGCATGCCTTTCCTGTTTCCTAGTTACCTTCTCAAAAAGGATGGCCCACCTACGGGTGAAGCACACGAGCAGGCCTGACTCCGCTTAGCGTGGACTGTGCCTCAATCCACTCACTATTATTTGGGGTCACCATTTTGAG